TTCCACTCGAATCTCTTCTCCCTCTCTAGCCCACTCTGCCCTATTACTGCCCAAGTTCTGGTGCTGCACCCCCTTTCTTAAGTTATCCTTTAAAAGCAAGCGTTAGACCCACCAGCATGACTAAAATGGAAAATATAAAAAATCCATGAGAATGTAATGCATCCAGAACTCTCATATAGTACAGGTAGGAGAAGAAATTGACTCAACGATTTTTGAAAACTGTCTGGCAGCAAAGCTGGACACTTACCTATCCTTGGCACAGGAATTCCCCTCCTAGGTCTGAACTCAACAGAAATGTGTACGATTGCACCCGAGATGTTGGAGAAGACATTTCACAATAGCACAATATTAGCTATCTATTGCTGACTAACAAATGACTCTACAACTTAGCAACTTAGAACAACAAACATTTACTATCTCACAGTTTCTGTGGGTGAGGGATCCATGACTTAGCTGGGGGAAGTTCCAATTTATCTATTAGGCACAGTGTGTGCAGTGCCTGGAGCCCACAGTACTTGTCAGTACAATTTTCTTCTTGCAATGAGTGAAATACATCCTTTTGTCCCTGCTTTTCTTTTCTTTGTTTTTTTTTTTTTAGTGGAAGAAAGGACCCATGAAGACAAAAGTGCCTCGGGCCCATGAAAGTTATATAACGCAGACCTGGCTGAACGGTTCTGACTGAGGCTCTCTAGGGAGTTTTCGATCAAGCTGTGGGCTGGGGACACTGTTGTCAGATGATTCACCGTGGGAGGATCCACTTGCAACTTCGCTCGGTAGTTGCTAGCAGGTCTCGGCTCCTCTCTGGCTGTTGGCTGAGGCCCCAGTTTCTCACCACATGGGTCTCTCCATGGCTGACTGAGTGTCCTCACGGCACAGCAGATGGCTTCTCCCAGAGCAAGTGAGGAAAGAGAGAGAAAGAGAGGAACACAAAAGTGGAAGCCTCAGTGTCTTTACAACCTAATCTTAGAAGTGACGTACCATCATTTCTGCCATATTCTTTCGGTCAAACTAACCAACCTTGAGGTGATGTAGGAGGGGTTTGAACACCAGGAGGCAGGGATCACTGGGGGCCATCTGAGAGGCTGGCTACCACAGAGCTAGTTTTAAAAGTTAGAAACTAGAAACTATCCAAATTCCTATCAACAGTAGAAAGGATAAATAAATTTGGGTGTATTCATATCGTGGAATTCTATGCAGCCATGAGAACGAACCATTTGCCACTATATGCAACAGGGTAGATGTACCGTATGGACATAATATTGCACAGAAGAAGCCGGGCACAGAGAGTACGCCCCTATGATTCCATTTATATAAAGTTAAGAAACAGCCAAAAATTCTCTACACGTTAGGGGGGAGAATGGTCCTTCCACCTTGAAAGATAGTGACTGGAAGTGGATCCAAGGGGGGCTTTTGGAGGCTGGCAATATTTGGTTTCTTAATCCGGGTTTTAGTTCCACAGGTTTGTTTGTGAAATCCGTTGAGCTGTACACTTTTCTCTATGTATATTATACTTCAAAAAGAGGTTTTTGAAAGTAGGTGTTAGAACACCTTTATTGTTTCCCTTTCCTAAAGAAATGTTCTAGAAATGACATCAGTTATGGCTGAGCATAAATCTGGTACAACTGTAATCTCCAGTCAGCGTATTGGTCCCTGCTCTAGGCCTCACTTGCTGTGCGACCTTGATTGAACAAATCATTTACCCTCTCTGAACTGTAATTTGCTCCTCTGCAGAGCTGGGTGGACACTTGCACTGCTAACCTCAAAGTGTGGTGGACGATATCGGGTCACATCAGGTTCAGTGGAGTCCTGTTGTACACAAGATTAAGTACTAAATTCAGAGAGTCATGTCAAAATCAAGCAGAAACAAATTAGCCTTGAAAATTCCTTAGATAAGCCTTAAATCACTGGGATGCCCTTGGAAACTCAAAAGCCAGGCACCAGGAATTTAACTTATTTTATTTCTCTTTAGATGTCTGCCCTGGTCTTGCCTTCTGTGGGGCAGCCTAGGATAAGATTGGCTTGAATGGCAGTGGGAATACAAAAAGGATTTCTCATTCTCCTGAGCTCTTTTTTGGTGAGGGCACCTAACTGAATTTCCATATTAAATATAGTTTTACAATGACTCCAATGTATGCGAAAGCACGGAAAATTATAACAATATTAAAGAAATGTTAATTATCTTCTTCTTTGGAACAGCTGCTATCCTCAGATTATTTTGGGTCTAGAAAGCCTTTGTGGATAATGTCAAGGTTAAATGAATGACTGATTGAAGCCATTTAACTAAAACAGGGGGCTGCTTGATGCTCAACAGCATGTTGGGACAATAAATAGAGAAAGATGCTGAAGTCAACATTGGATGTTATTATAAACAGCAATTTTGCAATTATGTAGTACTTTATAGTTTACAAAATCTAAGTCATCTCTTAAAAATTCACCTTATTTTAAAGAGGAAGCTTAACTTCCAAGATCACTTGACTAGTTTAATAGGAGAGCTGGGATTCATAACCAGAACTTCCAAGTTCAAAACCTTAGTATTTCCCAAGAGACCAAGATCTCTCTCTCTCTCTCTCATTCTCTCAGGGGTGATGTGGTGCAGAGAGGCATGTTTGGGGATTGGTGACCTGGCTCTCCTGGGCTTATCCTCTGGCCTCAGCCCTCTGCACGATCCACTTGACCTTGACTGTCTTCTCTACACAAGACTCCCAGATTAACCAAGATAGGGAGGTGGGAAGAACAGAGTTCCCTGAGGGGCCGTGGTTCTCGCCTTCGCAGAGACCTGCTGCACAGGGTGAGGTTAAAAGTTGTTCCTATGCATTCTGGGTTGTGTGGGGTTTAGGGAAAATCCTGCCGGGTGATATAGCTGGTTTCTGACACTCCAGGATGGGGCCAGGTTGTCTTTTTAATACATATATGCTTGCATCTTGCTTATGCATGCATGTAACATCTGCTTATCACTAAGTAATAAAACCAGCTGTAAAGACTAACCTTGCCCAAGAAAGATGAGATGAGATATGTTATGAGATACTGTAATATAACTCAAGTCTGGGTTTATTCTCCTCATGGGAGTTGGGATTCACAGGGCTTAGGGCTATTTCTGTGCCTTATAGCTTTGCAGGGGTGTATACCCTTTAACGTGACTGAAGGTTTCCTAGACAGGGCAAGGCCTTCCTGTACTTACTAGAAAAATCCAGAAATAGCCATCATGAAATGGCTCAGGGAGGAGGGTAGGCTGTGTTCAATGAAGAATCTCCTCTGACTCCTCACATTAGGGAGATATTGCTATCTCCAGATGTGATCCCATTTCAGTCACTACAGTTTAATCATTCCATAGTGTTTCTTTTGGGACTCAGGTAGCAGCATGAGGCCCCCTGGCGGCCTGAAATAATTCAGGAGTTTACTTTTCAAGCATTTCGAAGGGCAGGTGTGGCTGGAGAAATACAAGAGTAATAAACACTCTCCTAGACCTGGTTCGTACAGTAGAGACAGGGCGGGGTAGGATAACCTGTGTTGGAAGAATTGAGAACTAAAGTATGTTCTTTTAAGAGGTTAAAACAAATGGACTGCAATTCTGGATAAACCACTCTCTTTCTGAGTTTTCATTCTTTAGTTCATTTAGCAAACACTGATTAAGTACCTACTTGTGCAGGAAATTTTATTAGGCATCACATGGGGGTTAAAAAAAGTAAGAAACATTATGCACTTCCAAGGAGATTTAGAAGAAGATAAAACATTTATGCCACCAACATGGTAGATGAAAGGTGCCAAGAAAGAATAAATAAGTAAATACTCTTGAAGGAGTAGTTACTTCCCAATAAAAGGGAAAGCTTCTAAGAGGAGGTCGCATTTAAGCTGGGGCTTTAATAATGAGAAGCAGGATTTGGATATTTTGAGCTGGAGAGGGAAAGGATGACGTTAGGAAGGAGGGAAAACAGAAGTTCGAACACACGTGGAGGCAGGAAATCTAATGTCTGGTCCGGGAATGGTGAATTGTCTGGTTTGGCTAACTCATGAGTTTGCGGGTTGGTGGGAGAGTGAAAGCTGGATACATCTGTTTGGATCAGGCCGTGGAGAACCTTGAACACTTGCCTAGGAAATTTCTTCATTAAGTAATGAGGAGCTTTTGAAGACGTCTGAGCAGAAAAGAGGCGTGCCAAAGCACAAGACTCCCTCCCATTGAAATAAACACAAGGCCACACACTTGCATTTCTTCCAGAAGAGTGTTGATCCCCATGTGTTTAAGGCAATTGTGGTGTGCTCTACCATAATCAACAACTCCAAACTTTCATCCTCTGACCATCAAAGGCCAGAGAAACTAGGCCATGAAGACATCTCTCCTCCACAAAACCACTTGAGCACCAGGGAGCAGTCAGCGCCAGAGGGCTCCGGCCATATTTAATTCAATTCCTTGATGGCATGCCTTTCACGGAAAGTGGTATGCTGTGCTTGTTTTGTTTTGCTTTGTTTTCCAAGGTTTAAGAAAGGCTTCATGTCTAACTATCTTCCCACTCTAGTTTAACCTGGTTTAAACAACATGGACCAGGGATATTTCTGGCTGAAGTTACAGGATGTAACTGTGTGTAGAATAGCTCAATATCCACAGAATTCAAGCAGTAATCTTATTTGCATTATATTGGGACTAACTCAGTTAAGCCCCCTGAGAATCGACACAATGCCTGGCATATGGCTGGTGCTCAAAAATATGTTAAGCAAATATTTAACAACTGATTCCATAAACATGTAACACACATTATAAAATTCCTGACCCCAGGCATTGATATCCTACATGTAATGGCATAGAAATCTTTTAGAAAATAGGAAACATAATTAATATTATGTTTAAGAAGTCATGAAAGAAATGATGTGATAAAAAAATAAAACTCTTCTAGTTACGTTAGGAAGAAGTAACATGCCCGTTTGAGAGAAATACAATTGAGACGTAGTACATGAGGGAAGACGGGCCATTTGGAAATGCAATAAAAATAACTACAATAGAAACAAAGTTTTAAGAAGTTTCAGCAGCAATGAGTATTTATTATTTTTAATGAAATGTACATTAAACTTTTATATAAAAGTCATCAAAAGTGCTATATTGGGTTACTTTAATATTAATTTAACCCCCCCGTGTCATCTAGTAGCTACATCTTTTACCTTTTTTTTTTTACTTCTGACACATCATTACAATCATCTAAAACTGTCCAATGTTAAAACATAAAAAATATTAGTTTACTCTTCAAGAAAAAGTACCACCAGTGATGAATTACTGAAAGTGAAAAAACAGATGCCACAGAACCAGCTTATTGGGAAAAAAAAATTATCACAGAATTTCATAGAAGTATGCAAAGTCCAAGGCCATTTAGACTCTTGGCAGAACATTTTTATGATACAGCATCTTAAAAGTGTGGGTTCTTTCGGAGGCAGGTCGGTGGTGTGCAGAACTGTCTGATTATTTTCTCAGCTACTTTTCAAGGTGAACCAAATGTTGCCTAAAGCTGCGCACCTCCCATGACCCCAAAAATGTTTAATGTAGAGAAAAAGCTGATTTTTCAGCCTTAAAAATAGCCCTTAGAGTTAAGTTTGTCATTGAAGAAGACACAAGTTGTTCCCCACAAAAGAGAACTCCCTCTACCCGCCCATTGTCCATCCGCCCTCACTCCTCTAGCCCACTGTGATGCCAAGTCCATTCTCTCCCACCCGTTCTGGGTGCACTGGACACAGTGTGAGCAGGTTTTTCAGGCCACATATCCCGTTTGGTCTCATTCAGTCCTAAGCAAACAAGCTTCTCTGATTTGCCACAAGAGCCGTCTGACTCTCCCTTCTCTTGGCTTTCTTGCTCCTCTGTCTCACCTTCCAGCACAAGGCGCTGGAGGCTAACAAAAAAAGTCCTGATGACAGAAGGACCAGGCCTAAGATGGAGATGATGGAGCCGTGGGAATTGAAGCTGTAAGCCACAGCAGTGACCACTATCCCAGCGATGAGGACCACCACGGCGAAGGGGATGATGCAGCGGTAACAGGAAAGCTCAGCACCCCCCGTAGCTGCCGTCAGCTGAATCTCACTGACCAGGGGGACCATGGTGACTATCACTTCACCGTTGGGGCTCTTCTCCATTGTCACTGGCTTGGGAGACTTTGGGGTTCCCAGGATCTCCTTTATTGGCTCTTCAGTCATTTTTACAGCAGCGTCTCCTAGCTGGTTTCACACACTAAACCTAGGGGGTCTCACCAGGGTGGAAGCTGTGGAAGAGAAGACAGGAGATGTCAGCTAAATGCATCAGAGTGAGCTGGGGAAACACCACTGTGGCCTTTTCTGGGAGGCATGGATGCATGTGAAAATGAACTATAATTTTTTTCTCTAATTGTTTGCATTTCTAATTCTCTTTGCATTGGGCAAAAAGCAAGATAAGGCAGATAATCATAAAGAAAGGGAAGATATAAAAAGCAGGAAGCACTTTACAGTGTTTAATATACCCTGGTGGTCTACAAATATTTTACAAGCCTTTCCGTCTTGTCTATTGCTTCTCTTTGCTCTAAACACACAGAAAACCCTCTATCCTAATCCAGAGACAGCCTCATTCAAGAGGAGAATCCATTATAAACAATACTTTGAACAGTTCGTTCCACAACTCATAGCAACTTAGACTCTGCCAATGTTTCCGGGCATAACATGCATTCTTTCCAAACTGTCACCCATTCGCTGCCCACCAAATCAATGTCAAGACCAGCAGCCAGCGTGCAAATGATGTCCTTCTACAGCAACTTGACAGTCAACAAGTCGTTATTGCGTAACTATTGAACAAAGCCTAACACGTATCCTGGGGCCACAGTAGGGGTGCAGTTCAGCAAAACTTCAGTGATGATAAAGCTAGGATTTGTGACCTAAAATGTGACACTATCCTCTGATCCATTTGAAAAAAGAAAAATAAAATTCAACAATTTTGTAGGATATAATTTTGTGCTTCTAACATTAAAGTTCAACTGTTAGAGTGATTAGCTTTTCATTCACAAATCTTCCTTTAAACTCAACAAAAGAATTTTGATATTATGTGTACTATAACACGCTTAAAAAACAAGCATGCTAGATTTTCAGTAAAGTTCCACAAGTTCGTTTAGCCCTTGTGTACAAAACTTGCTGCCATGCACTTTCTAAATATTTCGAACCTGAACATTTCAGGACAAAATCTGAGACTGTCAATCAAAAACATCTGCTTGAAATCCTGTCTATGAGAAATCAGTGGATACTCTTGTCTGCTTCTCAGACATGTTAAATCACTCTCTTTTGTCCTCGAGAAGCCATCTATCTGCTAAAGAGTTGAGTAGCTGAAGTTACTAAAAGCCATTCAAGGAAGACACTTGAGACTATTCAATGAGATTAATGCTTGAAACATATTAAGCATCCACTGAAAACACATTCAACCCCAAATCAAACCTCAGAGGTCCTTCCCTGCCCTGGGAGGTCCAAATATCCCTCCCTGTGTAATAAAGCTAAATATTAGAGCTGCCTGTTTGCATGTAATTTTGTCACCAAATTAAGCACTGCTGTCCAATGAGACCCTAAATCCTGGCTAGGCCAGTAAAAGGACATTTGAGATTACATCTGAAAGAAAAATCTTCACCCCAAAGCTGAGATTTAAGCTAACCTGAAAATGAAGGCCTGCCTCCCAAACTACTTACGCGTCCCTTGGAGAGAAGCAATCCATTACCAGGGAAACCACTCCGCTTGGGAGGGAAGAAACGCTTGAGCTTCTTCGGTCAACTTCTGGGAAAAGAGCCTGTAACAGCACGTTTGTCAATAAAATGACAGGACAGGGCTCTCCCCTGGGGAAAAGAAAAGCTATAAAAATACTGTACTAGATGGTTGGTTTTAGATCCTGGAGCTCTTTCTTTCACCCTACCTCTGTTTCTAAATGACGCCTGTCTTTCCCTCTCTCTCTTTTTATTTCCTCCCCCTCCGGATTGCCCCTCCCTGCCATTTTTTTTTTTTTTCCTCTCCGTTCTTTTCCTTGCCAGCAGATTCCGACTTTTGGCTTCCCCTAACTCTGCTCAGTGACATGATAAGTCAGAATCATTCTAGAGTCCCCAGAGACAGAAGCCAGCTTTGACTTTTATTTCTCTTGCAGCATGGACTCAGCATACTGCTTTGCATTACTCATTTTTTCCCCGGCCAACCTCCAGATTTTCCTCCCGCCCATGAGGCATTTTCATAAGAAAATCCCCGAGTCAGCGTTGCAGACCCAGCTGAGGGGACAGAGCCGAAGGGACAGACACGTTAGGGCAGCAGGAACAGCTGTGAAGTCATCGGGCAGCTGAATTCAGCCTCTCAGCCAGCAAAAATCCATGTTCCTAGGTTTCCCCAGGATTCTTTCTTTATACGTGTGTGTGTTAGCCATCTGAAGCTTAAAACCCACCTCGTTTGATGTTAATTCATTTAGGAACCAGGATGGGAGGTACAAATGTTGTGGTAAAGGGGGAAAACAAGTCATCTTGGTTTAAACACAATTACTTACTACTTGTGTTGGGAGGTAACTTTGGCAATGCTGAAATTATCATCATCATCACCACTGTCATTTACAGAGCACCTACTACGGGCACGGCACATGCAATGTGTATGCATTAACATTAATTCTCACTACTTTATAAATGAGTTTATAAATAGTTTACAAATGTGGCTCAGAGAGGTTAAGTAACGTGACAAAGGTCACACAGAAAGAAAGAAACTCCTGTTTCGAACCCCAGTCTTCAATGGGCAAATAAATCACGTGGGGAGCTAGTTAAATGTCGATTCTGATTCAGCAGGTCAGTAACAAGGTCCTGGCTGATGTCAGTCTATTGCTCCTTGGCCCACTTTAATGAGCAAGGTATTTTAAACATTCAAACCTATATGGCTTGACACATTTTGCCCTCAAACAATAAAATTAAAAGTCTATTTCCCACCCCCTCCCCCCAAAGGGCCATATAGGTTTATACTTTCTTATAGACAAGCTATTTGAAAATTTAAAGCCCCAAATAGTCTTTTTGAGGCAAAAAGTGAGATAATACTGGGTGACTATTATAAGCTCACTCCTACACTTCTGTAGCTAAAAGTTATCCACCCTCTAGTTTTAAATCTATACAAATTTTAATGACTTCTTTTTAATTGATACAGTGAATCTACAAATCTAAATAAAATCGCGGAAGAGACTGGTCTTCCTTCTCTCTCTTGGGTCCTTAGATTTCTCTAAGTGCTGGCAGAGGGCCCGGGTGTCCTCAAGCATCTTGCCTCTGTTCTAAGACAGCTCACTCTTTCCAGCCTCCTCTAATAACAATACCTTAATGATTTTGTTGCAAATGCAGAGGGACCAGACGTCCTTTTTTCTAGAATGGAAGCCTGAGACAGTGCTTCTTCATTTTAAAAAATAAAGTTGAAAAGTCCCTGAGGCCTGGCTGAGTTGGGGGAGCCCAGCCCGCTGAGGTCCGTGTGTACCTGGAGAGCCTCGGCGGCCACCATCCTCACGCATAAAGGGACAGAGTCATCATTCAGGAAGAATGCTGTCACTTGGCATTGAAAATAAGGGATACTTAGAACCAGGGCATTTCAGCCCTTGCCAACACCGCCCTGGGAAGATGCGGATGTTGAGGGCTACTGCCCACAGATATTGGAGGTTCTTGAGAAGCTCCTTCAAAGTGCAACGGTCCTCCCTCCTGCGAACTGTGGCCTTTGGCAGGCAATTCTTCTCTACTTCCTAGCACGGGCTGCTTTCTCCCCAAGTAGTCCAATAACTCCACTGAAACTCTGAATGTCGCTCCGTCCTGTTGAAGATTATTTTCCCCCATCACCAAAGTCAAAGGTACATGGATCAAACTTATTCCAGAGAGAAGCCAGAGGCGCCTATTCTCTCCAGCGAGAGCCCTGGGCTGCGTCTCTGAGGAGGGACAGAGAGCGCACCCGGGCGCCGGGAGCGTGCGTGGGCAGGTCTGTCATTATTTCTCCTCAGATAAAGCTTTCTCCAGGCTTCAGGTGTTGCGTGCACCCTAATTCTTCTTCAGAGGGTGTGCATCTGCCTACACACACGGATGCACAACTCCAGCCTCTGAGTAGACCACTGATGATTTGTGTTGGTAAATACAAAGAAGTAGAAAGATTTGGGATAAAGAAGAAATAGTATCCAAAGAATAGATACCTATCATTATACCCACCCACATACGCAGTTGTAACTGACTTTTACCTCTTCAAATTGAAATTCAAAGAGAATTCCTAGTGATCAACGCCCGGTGTCTTTGAATGGTTTTTCCTTCTTCCACTCTATGCCTATAAGATGTTAAATACCCCTGGGAATTCCTTCAGTGACACCTGCCCCCAAAGGCGAATCTCATCCTCAAGGCGACCTTCTTTCTGCAAGCCTTCTTTCTGAAGGGAGGGGAAATCTTTCTGATTCTTTTTAAAACACAGGGCTCCAGGAGATTCCTTTACGTTTCGAAAACTTTTCAGAAAGCTTCCAATGCACGAATTAAATCTATACCCCCTGTACCCACCCCTCCGAAGGCATTCAGCATTTCTCTCGCAGATCTTTCAAAAAGCAAAGCAAAGATTCTTACCTTTCCCAGCCAGAATCGGACTGAGACAGCTGCCAGCCCCGGCCAACGACGACCCAGAAAGGGGGATGCAAATCACCGCACTAGGGACCGTAAACAAAGTTCGCAACAAGGCTTAAACACAATTAAGGGACCGGAGAAAAACTGGTGAGAGAAAAATCCCTTAAAGGCGGCTGTATTTTGCTCTAGGTTTCCCTTGAAGACAATGTAATCCACGTTTTTAAAAAGGGAAGCAAGTTTGAAAAGAATGTCCTCCTTTGTTTTTCTCTCCTTACATCCTCATTCTGGCTTTCATTTTCAAGCTTTTCCCTAACCAAAGCCCCATCCTGATCCTATCCCTCTGTAATACTGTGAACCTGCAGAAAAGATTTTGTAATCCTTGTTCTAGACTTCTAGGTGGGTGTGGAGTTCGGAAAGTCTGTGGGGGTGGAGAGTAGGACGGTTAACTAATATCTTTCGCTGTAACATGCAAGTAAGAGGAGGAAAGGTTGAAAAGGATTAATGGTGAAATTGCATTTGGTGCTTTTGTGTGGACCCTCTCCTTAAAGTCAGAGGAGTGGTCTTATCAACGCTCTTCATCAGAGGATGGCAAGACACCATGGAAATGATGGTGGACTGGAAAATCACATCTCTGATGAACTGAGGCAACCTTTCACAAAAGGCATCATAAACAGCCAAGCCAGGAACACTTACTGTTCCAGAGACAGTTCCCTCAAATTTGAAAAAACTCATTTGACTTAGAAACAAGACCAGAAACAAAGTTACTTAGGTGAGGGATACAGAAGCACAGGAAGGCAGGGAAGATGGTGAATGCTGCGACAAAGAGGAGATTTTGCCCATTTCCCTCCAATAGAAGCCAAGGGTTCAGGCTCTAGGTCGGAAAGGGGGGCATTTTGATTTCGCCATTGAGTATATGCTGTTGAAACCCTGGGAATTTCTCCTTTGGGAACAGATAAACTTTGCATTTGTGAAGAGCACCCCCTTGTGCATTCAATTACTCACCCCTATTTACTTTGTCTGCTTTTGCTTGGTGTGGTTGAGCTGGCTAATTGCCAGCAGCCCTGAAGATGCCAGTTCCTCCCGGCCCTCCGTCCAATCACCACATGCCTTTGATGTTGGTCATCAACCCGTCTAATTGGATTCTGTGAGATTCAGGAAGCTGGCCAGTTTTTCTCCTGTCCAATGCTTCTTTTAAGGGTGTGTCTGCATTTATGTTCTGAAATTATGGACGATTTGGAAAGTGATCTGAGCTTGTGTGTTCATTTTGGATAACAGGTCATATTATTATTGCTCCTCTCCCCCCATTCCCAGGCACTTGTCTTTGAGGTCTAAGATCTGATGGTACCCAGAGGAACAATGAATATGCCTTAGATATAAATATATATTTTATTATTTTATGGTGGATTTCCAGGTACCAGAAACTCATAAAACCCATGTGAATATAGAAAGGAAAACATACATCTTCTAGATGCACATCCTGGTCACCATTCTCTCATTCAGTTTGTTCTGAGTAACTATGAAACATCACATAAACATAGGAAAACAGAGTCACTGAAATCAAATGACACAGTGGGACCTTAGGGAGGGCTGAGTAAATCATCTCTCACTTCAACAAGAGCTATTGTCACTCTGGTCTCAGATGAGAAGAATTGATTTTCTTATTTCAAAATTTGAACATATGCTGAAACTTCTGTGATCTTGATACATCCCCATGTATATTGCATAATTCTTTATGTTTATGTACATTATTCTTTGGAGGCCTAAGATGAGGAAACTCAAAGGTAGAGAGTTACAGTAAACTGGGCTGACATTTTCCCAAAACAGGTGCATACCACTCGGGTCAGCTTCCTCTAGCAGGCTGTGCGTCATGTATCCAGGGCTTGTAGGAAGCCCAACATGCTTGCCTTTCTCCAGGAAAGGGAAGGGAAGGAAAGACAGTGACCTCACTCTTTGCCACTCCTCTTGATACCTAATAGTATGGGGCCCTCTATGCCTTTTTACAGAAGCAATCTCCTCCTAGCCTCTGGTGCAAAATGTTACTTGTCCTGTCCATAAATTGAGGTGCACGTGGTATGACCTTAATCAACTCCTAATCAGCACATAATTTCTGGGCTTCAACACCTATCTGGTGCTGGGGATTTGAAACCACCACACCATATGTAAAATTTTCTAAAAACCAACAATCTATGAGAGCCTGTAATGGTCAGCTAGCTTTTCTTCGTTCCATATTTCTAGAGAAAATACACCTTCTGACCTGATGAGCCGTCTCCCCATCGTGTAATGCTAGTCTTCAAGTGACTCTCAAGGGATGGGCACATCTGTGTTGACCCTCCCCCAAATAAAGAAAAATAAACTTGAAACCATAGATTTTAAGCCCTTTGCTTGGGTAAGAGGAACATTGAGTTTATTTTCACAAGTAGTTTTCATCATCTCGATTTTTCAAAGAAAGAAATGGAAGAGCAGAGAAGAGCACTCTTCCCAGATTGAACTCCAGAGCGGTGACCCACATCACATGCTCAGTTTGATGAGGAAAGGAGTGCGTTAACCCTTATCAAGTGTCTCATACGTACTACCCATAACACAGACCCTATCTCAGGTATTTGCATTCTCATTCCACTGTTGAAGAAACAAACTCAGTGGGGTTAAGTCCTTGCCTGGGATCTTCTACTAGGGTAACAGGCAAAGCCAGGACTCAAATCCAGGTACCTCTTCTCCTATAACGTCTTATGAGGACTCTGTTGCTTATTATTATTTATTAGATTGTGTATACATTCCTAACTTTAGACTAAGTCTCATTTTCTTGGGTTCAGGATGACCTAATCTCACTAGGTTTAGTTTTGGAAAAGTGCTCTGCAAAAGGGTACCTATTGCTTCTAGAATCATTAAACCATGTGTGTTGCCTCATACACATCTGGGTATTGAAACAGAGCTGTGTTACCAAGCACATTTGGGCGAGTTTGAGACACAAGCCTGGTCCCAGTGAGTCTGTGGAAGATGCTATGGCAGTAGGGGCATTTCAGAAGTCGCCTAGGCTGTTCCTCTGCCTTTAGGAGCATTTAAGTTCCACTGGTATTTACTCTTCTCCTTTAGGGTGCCAGCAACTTATTCAATACTCTATCTGAGCAGATCCAAACCAGCAAACAAAGCAAGGTCTCTGCTCTCAGGGAGCTTACGGTCCAGGACAGGAAAGCCATGGGCTAATGTTTGTGCTTGAGGGAATAACAAACTGCTATGGGAGGCCCAAAGAAGATTAAATCAGCCTAGCCTAGGTGGGAGGGAAAGCGTCATGGCAGACAGGCATTTGACATCAAAAGCAGGAAGGAGAGAAGGGGATTCTAGGTGAGGGGAAATGTCTCTATTCAAACATAGCTCAGAAAAGTGCACGTCTTCTGCAGAGAGCTTTGAGCAGCCTGTGTGGCTGAATTTTAGAGAGCCTGGAGCAGGCAGAGAGCAGTCAAAATGAGAATGGAAATGGTTTATGGTGATACGATTGCCTCTAAGTCAAGTTTGGACCGTATTTTGAGACCAATGTGGTTTTTGAGCAGGATGGTATAGTCAGCTCTGTGCGGTATCGAAAGTTCCCCGGCATTAGCGTGTTGGGATGCACTGCAGAAAGTCAAAAGGGGGATGGGGAAAGAATGACTGGGACACCAGTTAGGAGACCTGTGTGATTGTCCAGTGAGAGGTGCTGGGGGCCTGATATTGGGA